GGGGCCTTCGCCGCCGGCTGGCGGGTGCGGGAGGCGTACCTGGGCGCGAGCAAGCACGGCAACTGGAGGCGAGATCACCCGAGGACACCCGAGGACACCCGAGATCACCCGAGATCACCCGAGATCACCCGAGATCACACGCGATCACACGCGATCACCCGAGACCCTCCGAGATGACCCGAGATGCCCCGAGATGCCCCGAGATGCCCCGAGATGCCCCGAGATGCCCCGAGATGCCCCGGCGCGAGCAAGCGTGGCAGCCGATCGCCCTCCGCCGCCGCCATCTCTGGTCTCGGCCATCTCTCGGCTACGTCTCGGCTGTATTGCAATAGGTACGTGGACCCGGGGGGAAGAGGCCACCGCACGCGCGGCGAGGCGGCCGCAGCGTGGAAGGAGGAGGAGGGCGAGGAGGAGGGCGAGGGGGAGGAGGAGGAGGGCGAGGGCGAGGGGGAGGAGGAGGAGGGCGAGGGCGAGGAGGAGGAGGGCGAGGGCGAGGGCGAGGGCGAGGGCGAGGGCGAGGGGGAGGGCGAGGGGGAGGGCGAGGGCGAGGAGCCGCCTCTGGAGTGCGACAGCGCGGCCGTGGACCGCAAGCTTTGGGACGGCGCGTTTGCCGCCGGGTGGCGTGTGCGCGCGCCCTCCCAGGCCGCCCTCAAGCACGGGCACTGGCGCTACGTCGGCCCAACAGGAGACGTTCACACCACGCGCGGCTCGGCGGCGGCGGCGGCGGCGGCGGGAGCCGCGGCGGCGGCGGCGGCGGCGGCGGCGGCCGCAAAGTGCCATGCGTGCCAGGGAAGGCACCGCGCGCACACCTGCGGGCGAGCACTAGCGGCGGTCGCCGGCGGGCCCTCTGCGCGCGCCGCCGCTTCGCCGAGCAGCAGCTCTGCGCCGGAGGTTGAGGCAAAGGTTGGGAAGGTGGCGCCGGGGCGGAGTGGTACAGTGCCTCGAGTCTTCGCGGGGAGGGGGCCGAAGCTCTGCGGCACTGGAGGCTGCGTGAGGCCCGACGGGCACGCTGGCTTGTGCGAGGTGGCGGTGCGCGAGCGAGGCTCGCGGCACGCGCCGCTCAAGCGCAAGATCGGCGACGCGAAGTAGAGTGCGCGGTGAGCGGGCGACACCCGTCACCCCCAGCCGTCGGATGAGATCTTCATCGGGCTACAAGCCCTAACCCTGGGGGATGCGCGGTCGCAGGGCCATAACACGGGAGGGAAGGGGTCGCTATGACTCCCCTGCATTCTGCAACGATGGATCTCACAGATAGTTCGGAGGAAACAAGAGTTTTTCTGTTAAGTATTTCGATTTTGTTTTTGAATTTATCGATGACTCTGCAGCCACATCTGTACTTGGTTGCACTAACAGAGAATTTTTACAAGAAACCAAGGTGGGACTGGCGCGCACTGGCAAGGTACACTGTATGCTGCAGCCTGCACGCACCTCTCCGCCGAGGCCGAGCTCTGAGTCATCAGATTCTCTCGTAACGAGTCAGCCGACCAAGAGCGGCCGCACATTGCTCGGTACCTCCCCTGCACATCTAAAGCCATCCCTGCTGCTAGGGGGGGGGGGGGGGGTCTGACCCTCCCAGCAGCAGAGCGCACGGACCCAGCTCTCCCGCCTCTTCGCCGCCGCCCCCCCCTCCACCCTCGGCTCGTGTCTGAGCGGTACGCTCGAGGCGGTTGTGTTCACCGCGCCTTAACCGCATTGCGAGCACCCCGAACGCCTCAGGCGCTCGCGATTTACTGGGGCCGCACGGTGCAGCCGAGTGAGTACTCGTGGCTGACCCACCAACCTCTCTTCCTCATGGCTCTGGTGCGCCGTCGCCACAGATCACCAGGACGTGGCGACGGTGATGACCATATCGATCACCAGCCGATCGGCACGGTCAGCATGCCGCTCCACATGTACATGTGCATGCATGTATTCATTGTAGCCTGGAGTTTGTGCCCCGTTTGTGCCGCGTCCCGTGCCCCCGAGTTCATTTTATATAAACCAAGAGCGTCGGCGCCGACACGAGAGACTTATAAGGGTAGATTTCTTTTCCGGTCTGAGCAGTGTTTTCGCTGATCGCGGCATGCACAATTCTTTGGCGACGGAATTTCTTTGACCACGATACGGAGGGGGGCTGCGGAAGGCCGTAAATTCTTTTCTTCGTGTGCCTGTGGTAGTACTAGCACGCGCCAGTTCGCACCTGTGTCGAGCCTGTCTGCTGTGAGAGAGACTTATGGTGTGTAAACCCACAGCCCACGTAACTCCGTCTTTTTCAGGCATGTCGTCTTCCGACTCGACGCGCGACCTTCCAAGCGACATCGCGCCGACACCACTAGCCGCCGCGCGCGCCACAGAAGCCCATGCTATCCCTATCGCTTCTGTCAACCACCGCATGGATCACTCCGACGGCATCCTCGACCACGACGCTCACACCGTTCTTCAAGCGTGCGTTGGCAATGTCGACCATGACCACCGCTTCCCAGCCTGCGATCGTAGATGCCGTCGCTGCTGGCAAATACGTCGAGGTGCACTTTGACGACGGAGCCGCCTATCGCTTCCACTCACTCTGGCTGCGCGACGCGTGCCGCGATGAGGAGCACGTCGTAGGCGGCGCTGGCGAACGCTACTTGACTGCGACTCCGGTGGGGCCATCGGGCGTGTCGGCTGAGAACGTGCGTGCAGCTTCTGCAGAAGTCGGTGCCAATGGTGGTCTGCACGTCACATGGAATGACGCCTCGCTGGGCCCACACGAGATGGCGGCCGATCCGCCGCGTGTGTCCCGGTTTCGCACGGACTTCCTACGAATGTATGCCGAGGTCGTCGGAGAGAAGCTCGCCGCGGGAGCTCGCAGCAGCTCGGCGGTGCACGAGGACCTCGCGTTCCTGACACCCTACTCTGGATTTCCGAGCGCGCGGGCGCCCAAGGCGGAGGAGATGCGGCTCTGGAAGGCGGCGGACTTCGCCGTGCCCACGTTCGACTTCCATGAGGTGCTCGACCCCGCCTCGGACGCCAACCTAAACTGCATCGAGTCGGTGCTCTACCACGGCGGCGCGATGATCGAGGGCTGCGAGGAGCCCGGCGAGGTGGCGCTGCGCCGCCTCGCGGACGACGCCTTCGGCGGCCTGCAAAAGGACCCGACGCGCGACATTGCCAACTGGCGGATCGTCCGCAAGGAGGGCGCCACGTCCGTCTCGTACGACCACCTCAAGCGCCTCAACCAGCACACCGACTCGAGCATCCCGCCGCACGGCGTGCCGGCGCTCTGCTTGCTCATGCACTACGAGGAGGGGACGGGCACGAACACCTTCACCGACGGCTTCGCCGTGGCGCGCCAGCTCGAGGCCGAGGACCCGGAGGGCTACCGTCTGCTCGCCACGTACGGCTACGACGCCGAGCGCGACTTCGTGGCGTCGCGCGTCGACTCGCCGCAGGAGTACAATCGCGGCCTCATCGTGAGCACGCAGCCGAAGCTGCTGCAGCTCGACGACACCGGCGCGCTCCAGCGCATCCAGTACAACGAGGTCTTCCGCACGCCGCTCACGCTGCCCTTCGACGTCTTCCCCAAGTGGTACAAGGCCTTCAACCGCTTCGTCGAGCTCGTCCACTCGGCCGAGTACGAGAGGCCCGTGCCGATGCACAAGGGCAAGTTCTTCCTCATGAACAACTGGCGCGTGCTGCACGGGCGGGCGGGCGGGCTCGCCTCGAGCGACCGCGTGCTCGTCGGTGGCACCATCACGCGCGAGGCCATCTACTCGCAGGCGCGCCGCCTCCTGCGCGAGCGGCGTCCCGGCGGCTTTGCGGACGTCTCGCAAGAGGAGGAGCTCGTGATCCGGAGCACCGCGCGCAGCATCGAGGGCCAGGCGGCCGCGGCCGCGCCGCGCAAATGACGGTCGAGCTGCCTCCGGCACCGTGGTGGAGCGACGCCCTCATCGCGTTCGCGCTGCATGCGCTCCTCGCGCTCCGCCGAATCCTCCGAGGACGACGAGGAGGAGGAGGAAAGGCTGCGGTCGCGGCCGCGGCCGCGGTCGCGGCTGCGGCTGCGGCTGCGACCCATATAGAGCTGGCGGGAAGGAGCGTCTATGCGCGCGCAGCGCGAAGAAGAAAAGAAAAACGGCTCGAATAGGCGAGAACGCCGCGAGATCGCACGAGATAGAACGAGATAGCTGGATTGATCTGGATCGCCCCAGATAGCACGTCAATCTGATGAAAAGAACCGGCCAGACCCCAGGGATAGGGCTCTAGCGCATCACACCCCTCTCCTTAAAATCCCTGTGTGGTGGCGGCGTGCCGTCCTCCCATCCCTCCCTTGGGTTGTCTGTTTTCTTTCTTTCTTTTTCTCTACTCCCCAACGAGGCCCGCGTCCCTCATCCTCTTTTCGACCTCATCCTCGAGCGCGTGGATCTGCCGGAAGGGGTGTCGCAGGAAGAGGTGCCAGATGTACGCCTCCTGCACCTCGTCGGGCTGGACGCACCAGCCGAGGTGGTACCGGCGCGGCAGCTCGTACCAGGCCACGTTGCGGGAGGCGAAGAAGGCGGCGAGGAAGCCCTGGTCCCCGCCGTCGTAAGAGCGCGTAAAGGCCGCCGCGCGGCGCATCGCCTCGTATACGTCGCGGCTCGGCGTGAGCACGAGCACTCCGGAGTTGAAGGGCAGCATCCCGTCGGCGGTGCTCGCGTTCGGGGGCCAGTAGCGGGGCGAGCTCGAGGGAAAGTCCGGCTCGGCGACCCGCCACCGGCCGCCGCGCGTCGCCGCGGTGCGCCTTAAAGCGTTGAAGCCCCATTTTGAGTCTAGTGCCGCGGCCGGCGTGCTGACGCTGAAGAGGTGGTCGATGTTGCGCCGCACGACGATGTCCGTGTCCAAGGAGACGACCTTGTCGTACTCGAGGCTCCACGCGTCGAGCTGGACAGCGAGGCAGTGTGGTGTCTGAGCGGTGAGCCGGAAGGGCGAGCCGGAAAGGCAGTGTGGGTGGGTATCATGAAAATCATCGCGCCCGTTTCAGTCGGTGTGGGTGGTATCACGGGAAGGGCGAGGGCGAGAGCGAGGGCACGCCGGTGCCGCACGCCTTTGCGAAAGTCACGTGCCGCTTGTGCGCCTTGTCGAGGCCCTCTGGTGGAGGCGCGAGCCGCACGAGCCGCACGCCGAGCCGCCGGAACGGGGCGAGGTCCGGGGCAGGCACGCCGTCGCTGAGCAGCACGATGCTGTGCCGCGTCTTGGTCCACACGAGAGAGACCACCGCGCGGAGCAGCTCGCGGAGCACGGCCAGCTTCTTCGCGTGCGCGGCCTGACTGGCTTCGATGCTCTTGGCTGCCGGAAGACGGAGGCTGAAGGCAAAGGCAAAGCTCCCGTTCGGACTGCCGCTGGGCAGTGGAGGTGCGACGGCGGAGTTGGCGGAGGGAGGTGGGCACAGCTCGGACCGGCGGCACTCGGTGAAGCACGGGAGGCAAGAGCAGCCGTCACGCGGCGCGAGCCAGCCGCACAACTTGCGGAACATTACAGTGGCGCCGTCGCGATGGGAAGTCAAGTGGGTCGGCAAGTCGACGCATCCGGCTCTCCGCAGCCGCGTGGAGCATGACTCGCCGCCGCTCGGCGCCGAGTGCAGCATTTGAGAGAGGAAGCTGTGCGGGCACGACCGCTGCCGAAAACACAGCGGCATGTCGGCGGCGCGCCAGCCGCTGCGGCAAGTGCTCACGATGTACTCCGCGTACACGTCGGGCGACGCAGAGCGAAACCTCGAGTGCGGTGCGAGCCAGCCCTCCTGCTGAGTCAGCGGCCGCCGATGTGGCATCGAGAGAGCACCGATTGGAGCGGCCGCTCAGCTTCCCTGAGCGTCACAGCTCGGTGATCGCGCCGGCCCGGGGGCCCGGGGGGGGGCCGGACACCACTGTACGTCCGTTCCGGGCATTTTGAACACGACCTTCGGGGGCAAAGACATGGGCTCTATGGCTCAGACTGGACTCCTCTTGGTCCCTTCTGATGCCCTAGGCCACACCTGGGCCTTACCCGGGGTTCTAGGGGGCGGGCAGGGTTTGCCCCCCGAAAGTGGCCCGGAGAACCTTAAGAGCTGTGAACGTGAACAGAGTGGTACCAGACTGTGGGTCGTTGCGGCACGCATGGGGGCCCTCCCGGACGTATGGTCCTAGCCCAATACGTCCCACGGAGCACATTTCGATTTTTGACAGAGTTAAATGCACTGCCCCCGCACGGTACTAATAGTCGTAGTTTTGGCACCGCTGCCCTTCACGGCACCACACCGCCGCTTGACAGCCCGGGATTAGCCTAGCAGCGAGTGGGCATCGCCTGCCGGTCGGCTGGGCACGAGCCAAGCACTTGTGCGGCCGACAACCGAGTCTGAGCGGCGCCTGAGGTGGGTGCCACGGCGTCTGCACGAAGGCGTGGCGGGGTGAGGAGCCAGGGGTGGTGAACGCCTCCCCGTCGGGCGCGCGGCGCGCCGGATGGTCCGCCGAGGCCGCCGCCGCCCCGGCGGCGGCGATGGGGGCGGCCGACCCGGCCGGCGTTTGTCGTCTCCACCTACAGAAGAGCAGTCTCTGTGGGTCGACGATACTAACTCGGTAGTAACGCGGAGCGGTGCTGTGCGGCGCCGAGTCGTGCGCGAGGCGACCTCCTGAGGCTACCTGAGCTGGCAATGGATGCCACCAGGACGCACGGCCAGCAGGAGCCAGTCGGTCATGCCCTGCTGTGGAGCAGAGCTGGCTGGCGCACCGGCGATACTAACTCAGCGCGCCGCGAGAGGCGAATCTGGGCGACTTTGGAGGCGCAGTTCTCGAGCTTGCCGTCGACGATTGATGTCGGGTAAATTGTCACTGCCGTCGGGGAAGGTCTTCTCTCAGCAGGCCGAGCGCCGTGGCCTGGCTCGGCTCGCCGCTGAGTCGCCTCGATACTAACAAAGACTACGATACATGAGGGACCCCCCCTGCACAACTAAGCTCATCCCTGCTGCTAGGGGGGGGGTCTGACCCCCCCCAGCAGCAGAGCGCTCCTGCTGGGGGGGGGGGGTCCCGACCCCCCCAGCAGCAGAGCGCTGCTGCTGGGGGGGGTCGGCCATGAGCTTAGTTGCGCAGGGGGGGTACCGAGCAGCGAGCGGCCGCTCTTGGGGGGGGGGGGGGTGATTCTGACACTGACGCGCGCCGTTCATGGTTCTCGAGGTTCTCGAGGTGACACCATATACGGCTTTAGCAGCCCCTTGGAGTGTGATCAACGGGCCCCCGGGGTTGTGCGTTTTTATATGTGATCAAAGATCCGCAGGTGGGACTGCAGCGAAAAAAAGCAAGTCAGTGGAAAGATAGGCTCCGCCCCGGCGGCCCGCGCGCCGTGCCGGCGAGTCAGGCCCTCAGGCGGTGGGCGTGGCGCATGGTATCTTTTTTCCGTTCTCCTTTCCTCTGGGGCCCAATTGTTTCTTTTTCTCGCGATGTCCGCCCCACTCGCCCGCCTCCTCGACCTCCCCACGGGACCTCGGTCGCTGGTCGGCTCGAGTCGGGCGCGCGCGGCCTCGCGCAGACTCCAGCCCAGTCCGCCTCGGTCAGGGGGGATTTGCCCTCGTCGAGAGGGGCTGCGAGGCCCGCGCAAACGGGTCTGTCACGTCGCTCACGCCGTCGACGAGCCCGAGCTTGGCGTTGACCTGGAAGCAGAGGTAGCGCAGCAGCGCGTGCTCGAGCGCCGCGGCGAGGTGAGGCGCCTCGGACTGCATGTCGCGCAGCCTGCCGCGGGTCAGGGTGAGGAGCGAGGTGCCGCCGCCTCCCGCCTCGGCGCGGAACGAGCGCCGGTTGTGCAGGAAGAAGTCGAGCTCGCCGAAGATGCCGCCGTGCGCGTACCTGGCGATGCGGACCTGCTCCCTGTCGGCGCCTCTCTTGCCGGAGGCTCGCTCCTCCCACAGCTCCACCTGCGGTACGGCGCGCGCGGGGGGGGGGGGGGGGGGGGGGTGAGGAGGCGCCCTGCACAGCTCGCCCGAGCCTCCTCCTCGCTCGGCCCCGCCTGCCCCTCGGCGATGAAGTAGAGCGCGCCCGCCTCCTCGCCCGCCGCAAAGATTCGCCGGCCCGGCCCGTGGCTCTCCTACGGGACGTGTCGCAGACACGTCTCGGACACGTCTTGGACGTGTCCTGCACCGGCCCTCTGCCCGCGGCTCTCCTCCTCAAAGTACGGCGCGAGCCCGTCCAGCATGCCGGCGTGGTACGAGTCGACGAGCGGCGCCTGTTCACAGCCAGCCCGCCATGAAGAGGCGCCGCTCACAGCGCGCCGGCGTCGTGCGAGTCGACGGGCGGCGCCAGCACGCGCTGGACAGACCTCGCCAGCCAGCTGCCCCCGCTGCCGCCGCCCACCACCCCCCCTCCCCCCCCGCCAGGCTCGCCGGCGAGGGCGGCCAGGTGCGCCAAGTCGGGCGCGGACTGTGTGGCGGCGCGCGCGACGAAGGGGGACGAGTCGAACTCGCGCGTGCCGATGGGCTGCTTGCGCGTCGCCTAAGGAAGGGCAAGCAGGCTCCGGGAGGATCAGAGCACCAGTGGCCGAGGAGAGGGGCTGCTCTGCGGCCCGACACCTCCTCGAGCAGCTTCTCCTCGCAGTACTCGAGCGCCTCGTCGACGGCGGAAAAGCGGCGCGCCTAGCCGTCGGCCAATCTCGGGGTGGATCTCGGGCCGATCTCGTGTCGATCTCGGGCCGATCTCGTGTCGATCTCGGGTCGATCTCGTCCGCAGCGGAGACGCGGCGCGCCGAGGCGAGCGAAGGCGAGTCAGTGAGGATCCCGTGCCCGGTGAGGAGTTTGGCGATCCGACCGCCGGCCGGGAGGCCGCCGAACACAACCTCGATCCCGAGCGGCGCGAGGGTGCGCGTGAGGTTGAGGAAGCACGCGCGGGCGGCGGTCGCGTCGAGGCCGGTGACGGCGGCGAAGTCGAAGAGGACGAAGCGGGTGGGCGGCGCAGGCTGAGCCGAGGGGCGCTGCTTGGAGGGGGGTCTGCCGAGGGTGGGCTCGAGGTGCGGCGGCACGGAGACGGCGGAGAGGACGTCCTCCATGATGCGGAGAGTCGAGCCGAAGAAGATGTACCCGCGGCAGCGGAGAGAGATGAGTCGGGTCTGCTCGCCGGCGAGGGCGCGCGAGTGCGCAAAGGAGCGCAGCACAGTCGAACGCACGTCGATCCGTCGGACGACGGGGGCGGAGGCGTAGTCGATGATGAAGTGGCACATGGCGATGAGCACGCCGCCGCACATGCCAACCTCGAGGCCGAAGCAGTTGATGGCGCCGAAGGTGAGGAGGATGATTGCATACTCGGTCGGGTGCACCTTGTGGCGCGCGGCCCAGAGCCAGTCGACGAGGAGGTCCGCGGCGATGAAGGTGAGGACGGCGCCAAAGAAGAGCTTCGGCACGTACGCACCCACGGTGACCGGCGACGCAAAGAGGAGTAGCTCGGCGGCGATCACCACGGCGCCACAGAGGCGGAGGCGGGTGCCGGTTCGGTAGGTGAAGATCGTGGTCGAGAAGATGTACGAGCCGGTGAAGCCTCCGCAGAGGCCCGAGGCAGCGTTGGAGAGGCCAACCGTGATGAGCTCGTGGTTGAAGTCGAGCTGCTTGCCCATGTCCATCTGGATTGCCGCCACGTCGAGAGAGGACGAGAAGGCGACGACCGTGTACATTGCGAGCCACGTGGGCAGCAGCGAGGGCAGCACGTCCCAGTGCACCAGGGAGGGGCGGAAGGAGGACCAGGTCTCGAGGCACGACGCCGGCTGCTCCGCCTCGGACAGGTAGCCGGCGGCGCGGAGAGCAGGCAAGTCGAGCCCGGCGGCGAAGGCGGCGGCGTAGAAGAGGACGGGGATGGCGAGGAGGAGGGAGGGGAGGACGAGGAAGTGGTGCCACCGCTGGAGGGCGAGGATGATGCCGACGCCGCAGGCAACGCCGGGCAAGCAGGGCAAGATGCCGGCGCCGCCAGCCAGCGACACCATCTGCGCCACCGAGGTGACCTCCGTGCCAGACATGAGGGAGAGGCCTGCCTCGAAGCAGTAGAGGCCGATGTAGGCGAGGTAGCCTCCCACCACCGGAAGGGGGAGGTACTGCACCAGCCCGGCGAGGCGGAGCTTGCCGGTCAGCACGAGGGCGAGGCCGAGCAGGGTGGTGGAGGAGGCGAGCGCGACGAGGGCGGTGGCGATCACCTCGTCGTACGGAGCCTGTGGCGCGGCGGTGCTGTGAAGAGCGCCTCTGTGACAGCGGTGGCGATCACCCCATCTCGGCTCCTCTCGGCTCCTCTCGGCTCCTCTCGGCTCCTCTCGGCTCCTCTCGGCTCCTCTCGGCTCCTCTCGGCTAACCTCGGGTCGTCTCGGCTAACCTCGGCTCGTCTCGTCTCCGCTACTCTCGCCTGGCGCTTCTCGAGCGCCTCGACGACCTGGTTGGCCATCGAGGAGAGGAAGATGAGGCCCGCGTCCTGCACCTGCCCGACGGCAAAGACGAGCGACGAGGTCGTCACAAAGACGGTCTGATGCACCGCCGACGAAAAGAGGACCAGCTTGACGAGCCGGGCGTAGGTGGCGGCGTCTCGGTGGAAGGTGGGGTGGCGAAAGATGATGGACGCGAACGAGATCATCACCGGCGCGCAGACCACCGCGTTGATGCACCCGTAGATGAGCGCCTTTGTCACCGCGACTGAGCGAGACTCCTCCTCGCCGCCTCCGCCGTCTGCGGATGTGGTGGCGGGCGCCGGCCCGATATGGCCCTCCTCTGCTCGCTCAAGCAGCGGCTGCGCCAGCGCTTTGAGCGGCGGCGGCCGTGGCGAGCCCGGCTTGGAGGAGCCGCCGCCGAGATCTGAGGAGCGCTCAGAGAGGACGGGAGAGCGTCGGCCGTCCGTTGTCCCGAGGACTGGGGATGTGGACCCGAATGGCGCCGGAGCGTCAGCGGACAGTAGCTCTACGATGCCAGAGAGATGAGCGCTCATAGGGGTGTACCCTGGTGTGCCTGTCCTAGCCGGCGCTGTACCCTGGTGGCTGCTAGCGGCGGGCGGGGCACATTGGATTGGAGGGCTCTCGAGAGGTCTCGAGGTTGATAATCCGGTTGCGCCGCCTCTGTCGCCAGGCAACCGCCGCCGCCGCCGCAGTTTCCGTTGTACGCAAGCCGCACATCGGTTCCCACATGTCCTCCGTCTCTCTCGAGTTGACAGTTGTCCCCCCCCGCCGTGTGCCGTGACTTGTGCCGTGAGTCTGATCGATCTTCACATACATGAAGGCGCTCGCTACACATTCTTTCTCCCATGCTAGCTGGCTGAGCTCAGGGCACGGCACGCACCCACGACGGAGAAGAGACCTCACGCTGCGCTGCCATCCGCGCGGCCGCGGCATTGGGCAGCAGCGATCATGCGCTTCCGTCGCGAGCTGGGAGCCGCGTGCGAGAGCATCCAGGGCTAGATGCCTAAAAGGGCCGACCGACGAGCGGATCCATTGCCGCCTTCAGTGCCGCCATGCCCTCCTCAAAGGGCACATCTGGCATGCCGTGCCCAAAGAAGAGCTGGGCGATCTCGACCTATGGCAACCGGAATAAACGAGCTGATCCGAATGCGGCTTTCTCTTGCTTGGAGCTGCTGCGAGCGGGACCGTTCCGTCCATCGAGATCACCCACCCCGGGTTGGGGGCGGTGCCATACGAGCACCAGGTGGGGTTGTAGGTGCCCGCCTTGTCCAGGCCTTCCTCGCCCACGGCCGGGAGGGAGTCCATCAAGATATAGTCAAAGGCGCCGGGCTCCATTGCCTCCAGCGTCTTCGCCGCCACCTTGCGCTCCTCCATGGTCAGCGCCTGGGCGAGGATGCCGCCCGGGTACTCCTGCTCGGCGGGCAGGATCTCGCCCACGTAGGGGTGCACGCCCCACATCGGGTGCACCTCTGGGATATACACAAAGACGTACCTGCCGTTGGAGGCGCACGGGTGAGCAGTCTCTGGACACATGCGCCGTTGACTCGGGCGCACCAGAACGCGTCCCCGTACTCGGCTCGCAGCTCGCTCACGTACGGCAGCGTCGGCACCGTGAAGGGTCAGGTGGCGGATCCGAGCTCGAGGACCACCGGCTTTGTCTTGAGGAGCTCGGAGAGCGAGACGAGGCCGTCGTCGTGGAGAGATGAGAGGCTAAAGTCGGGCGCTTTCGACTCGGCCTCGAGGTTTATGCTGGGCATTGCGTGTGGCTCGTACAGGGGGGGCATCCTTGAGGTGCACTGCGGGCCAAACGGCTCGAGGCCAAGCGCGCGCGCAAAGTACTCAATGATTGCCGGCTTGGGGACAGGGGCGGAGGAGAGCACGGCGCCAGTGACGAGGCCTGCGCCCACAAGGAGCGCCGTGGCGCCGCGACGAGGCCCGCGACCCTTTTCCGCGGTCAACATGAATTCCACGGGCGCCCCGCTTGGCCGATGTGATGGGACGCACGACTATTTGGAAATGCACGAGGCGCGCCTGTCCCCCCGTGCCCGGGGGTACTTTTAGCTTACTGCATACTGGGAGACAAGAGAGAGGGGGTTGTGTTCTCTAGGCCCCTAACTACGCGCGGCGTGAGAGCTCGGAAGCGAGCTTTGCACGGCGATCGAGGATGGCACGGTTCACCCCCTTCACCGAAGCGATGGAGATGCGTTCCGCGTGGTGTGACACAAATGAGAGGCGGAGGCAGTGGCGGCGGCGAGGGTGGCGGCAATGGTAGCGGTGGCGGCATTGGAGATGGCGGGGCCGGCGGCGGTATGCGGCATTCTGAGCAGCCGCTGCAATCTGGCCACTCGCACTTGGTGGACCAAGAAAACTTTAGGGCCATAATGCACGTCTGTCTACAGACTGGCGAGGACGAGGGCGGCAAGAGCAGTGGCGGTATAGGGGATGGCAGAGTCGTGCTGCATTCCGAGCAGCCGCTGCAGCCTACCCAATCGCATTTTGTGGACCAGGGTTCTTGTTCCCAAGGGCAATGCCTGCGACACGGTCTCGACTGCAGTGAACGCACATGGCTGCCGCCTTCCTCCCGGGTCGGGTCTGCGGCTGGTACTACGCCTGCCGTCGAGTACACTGGCATAGTCATGAGCAGGCTGAGGACGGCACGGGCGGGGGCACAAAACCGCATCGGCCACCGCCGCAGAGCGCCGCCACAGCGGGGGTGACCGCGACGGCGGTGTCGGCGAGATCCAGACAGCAACGTTGTGATCCTCTATGTTTTGGATGGATGATATTCATTATCTCTAATGAACCGACGCCATACACATATCGCCGCCGTGCTCCATTGGGAGATACAGGAATCCCGCGACTCGCGACCCCCCCGAATAGGAAGGCGAAACACAGTCCGACCAACGACTGGGACACCAACGCGGTATGGGTGGACGCGGGACGGGCGGTGACGGTCACACAGGAGCGACACACAGAACCACAAGACAAGACACTCAGCCAACGGGGCTGCCCCACACATCCTGAGCGAACTTCCCTAGTCACCCGCGGCCGGACTCCATCCGGCACGCGTCGGCCGTCGCTGACCCCCCCCTCTTGCAGGGCGCGCGATCGCTAGCTACGTACGCCACGATCGGTCGGTCGGTTCAGTGCTTGCTCGTCGATCGAGCAGCCGACCTCTTCTTAGACTTTACGGCTAGCCGCTAGCGCCCCGCGACCTCCGTCAGCCGTCACAATAAAAACATTCATTACATTAAACATGCGATGATTGCGACTATACTGCATGGCACATACTGTCGCGACGCGTCACCACGTACAAGTTACTCTACCTCTGTCATGTGTACTCCAGAGAGACAGTGCTCAGTGGCGCGGACATGAACACTAGTCAAACGTAAAGAGGGGGAACGCAGGGGCAACCTGTCGAGGTTGCCCCCCCCTACCTGGCCTGTTGCCCGGCTGGGGCGCAGCCTAAAACCAGAGCCGCTCTTGGCCCTCGGCGAGCGGCGCCTAACCTCAGGTCATCTCGGGTGGTCTCTCGTGTGGTCTCGAGTCATCTCGCCCCTCTCGGCGAGCGGCGCCGTCGTCGGGTCGACAGACAGCAGCGCGGCGAGGTCGGCGGCGTCCTGGTCATTGTAATCTCGGGTCATCTCGGGCCATCTCGGGCTATCTCAGGTCAGAGGTCGGCGGCGTCCTGGTCATTGTACGCGTTCGACGTGACCCAGACACGCAGCGCGCTGTCTGCCCGGCCGAGGGCGACGGCGAGCGCCGTGGCGCCGGTCGCGCCGATCGCGTTGTAGCGCACGTCGAGGAAGCGGAGGGCGCGGCACCTAGGTTCGCTGGCTCGAGCTGGCCCGAGGTTGGCCGAGAGATGGCGGTGTCCTCGTCGAAGGGGCCCGGAGGGCGCGGCGCCGTGGCAAGGCGGCGGCGAGGGGCAGCGCGCCCTTGTCCGTCATGCCGCAGTAGCGAAGGTCAAGCGTCTGCAGCGGGCACGCACCTGTGCAGGGCCGCTGTGGGTGCTGATCCGACAAGCTGTGGGAGAGGTTTCGCGGCTGCAGCGGCACGCGCAGCGCGGCAGCGAGGAGGCGAGTGCGGCGGCGACCGCATCTCCCACCGGCTGGCCTTGCTTGCCGAGGTCGAGGCTGGTCAGGCTCGAGTTTGGACGGGCGAGAGCAGACACCAGCGCGGCACCGCCTGGAGAGGACGGCAGAAGAGGCAGCTCAGAGACGCGGGAGAGCACACGGCAGAAGAGGCAGTCGCAGAGGGAGGGAAGTGTGCTGTCGGAAGTCCCACACGCGCGTGACCCCGACCCCGCCACACACAGTGAGACATGCAACGGTTCGGAGCCGCGGGAGAGGTGTCTCGCTCACCCTCGTCGCCGATCCGATTCCCCCACAGTCGGAGGGTGCAGATGGCGCATCCCTCGCCGCGCAGCAGGCCGGAGAGGGCGGCCGCGCCGGCGTCGCCGATGGCGTTCCCTCGCAGGTCGAGCGACGTGACGTTGTTGATGGGCCGACTGCCAGTCAGAGCGGAGCCGGCCGCCTCCCGCTGCAGCGAAGCGACGAGTGCGATGACGTCGGCGTCGTCGAGCCCGCGTTCGATGAGGGCCAACTCGCAGCTCCCGCCCGCCGACGCGCGCTCCGCTGCCTCCCTCCACGCAGGTCCGCCCGGCATCTCGCGCCGAGCCGCCGCTCGATGCTCCGCATCGGCGGCAGCCTCGATGCTATCGAGGCCGACGGTCGAGGACTCGATTCGAGGCAGCGTGCTCAATTTCTTGCCTGGAGGACTGGTGCGGCGCATCGCGCTGGCGTGTGTGGTGTGTGAAATACACATGATTCGATCGACGATTCTCTCTCTCGAGGTTCTCGAGGTGGATATCCTTTGGCCGCGTTGGGTCGACGATTCGAGTTTGAGACACTTTGGAGAGAGGAGAGTTTTTTTGTCACTTTGGAGACACTTGAGACCACTTTGAGACACCTTCGCGCTCGCTGCTCAGTTCTCTGCACGTCTCTTCGCGCTTGGCGGCGCGAGCGGCGGAGTGAGAGGCGCCTGTGCATGCGGCCGAGAGGCTGAGTTGTGTGCGCGGCTTTTTTATTTATTATTTCATGTCAAGCACCACACAATTTGAGCTTATTTGTGTCTGTGTGTCGCTCGTGCGTGTCGTCATCATCTGTCTTGCGTCCACCCATACCGCGTTGGTGTCCAGTCCGAGCCTGGCTGTTCTTGTGTATCGCGCGCCTTGCGGGGGGGGCTGTTCTTCACCTTTCTACCCTACCTACACTGCTACACCCCTCTTGTTGTGTCAAGAGCGCCTAGAAGAAGGCGCCGCCCCCCGAAAAGGAATCCCACCCGTACCACACGAGCCCGAGCCCCCGTCGTAGAGCGCCTCGAAAGCGTCGGGGCGGAGATTTTTATTTAGCAATACCAAACAACTCTAGCACTCACACGTCATTTGGGGCGGCCGTCGGGCCACTTTTCAGAGAGAGAGAGTGTTTTTGTTTGTCTTTTCAGTGTATGTAGCTCTTAAGTACATTCCCTTTTAAGAAAGAAAGAAAAAAGATACAATCGGACGAGGACAGAATAAATAAATAAATAAAACGGACACACCAAACAAGGGGTGGGAGAAGGACAGGGTCCCGGGACGAGGACAGAGTCGCAGATCTGCCTTTTTTATTGAGCTTAGCCTTCGATGTTGTTACGAAACAAACGCAAGGCGGACATGGCATATCGCTCTCGGGCCCACAGACATCCCGCACACTCGCCGCACACCCGCAGTGACAGTTTGGGACGGCAACAGCCCGAGTATTTTTTTTTGAGCGCCTTCGTTGTTAATAGTACAAACCCAATGGTCTCTTGCGAGCGGTCCGTCGTTGCAGTCGCACACACTCACACGCCACGCCTCACCGCGCGCCCACCCGCTGCCCCGCCCAGGCGGGAAAGAGATGAGGAGATGGGACAGCGAAGGAGGAGCCCCACGACACGTATGGGAGGTTTCGTTGATGCGTCACGCTGCCCGGCGTTTCTCACTTTCCGGGACAGCCCCGCCCTTGTGAGGCAGGAAAGTGACGGCTACCCCGTACGCCCGGTTGCATCATACTCCATCGCCGACCGCCCATTCCCCCCTCCTCGTTCCCCCCTCGAATGCTCCGGACCCCGACAAGCCGCCCGACGTTGGGCCTCTGCCCCGCACGCCCCCGCCCCTCGCTCACACCCCGGCCCGACACGCACTCTGCCCCGCACGCCCCCGCCCCTTCTGCCCCTCGCCCACACCCCGGCCCGACACGCACATACAAGACAAACCCGGCGTCCTGCTCTCAAAAGAAAAAGAAAAAAGGGAATGAGGAGACCAGCGGGGGAGACTCCCCGCCTATGCAAGCCCCAGAGAGGGGCCGCCATCGCCGAAGCTGTGCCAAAGCATAACTCCAAAACCCGCAGCGGCCCAGGGGGCCTTGGGGGCAGCCTGCCGGACCGCCGCTGCACGGGGCTAGGCACCAGAAGATGAGTGGAATTGATGAATTGGGCCGTTGTCCGTGCCTCCCCTCTATACGTCAGAGTGGGACCTACGCCGCGCCGGGTAAGGGGCGCGCCCGGTCCTCGACGGAGCCGCACCTTGTGACGGTGCCCTGGCAAAATCGTCCCGATTTCGATGCGCGATTTAGCTAAGTCCCAGAGCCGTTTACGCATGAGCGGGCCCCCTCACCAGCCTAGGGCTCGCGCTTCTGGCCCGAGGTGTCGCCGCTGCCTCCCGCGCCCTCCGGCGCCTGCTGCTACTGCCGGTCGGCCGGTCGGGTCCGCGCGACGGCTCCATCCTCGAGACGTAGCGGTCGCTGAGCGCTTTCTCGACCGCTACGTCTTCCAGTGCACCCACCCACCGCGACCCTCGAACCTGCGCTGCGCGGCGCAGTTGCTGCCGAGCGAGACGCCCCCGCCCGCGCAGGGGCGGCATCACCAGACGCTACCGCATGGCCGAGCAGCGAGCAGTGTGTGCCGCAGTGCCCGTCCGGGCCCTCTTGCAGCTGCCTCTATTGGGCGTAAACCGCGGATATAAGGGTCTATACGGAGGTGGGTGGCCTCTTAGAGGTATGGGAGCCGCTGGCACCGCGCTGGGCGCCGCGGATGCACGTACGAACGAACATTATGAAATCGGGACGATTTTGACCCAAAAATCACAAGGTGCGCGCCCCAAACGACCCAGGCGGCGAGTAGTCGTCCTCGAACCTTCGACATGTAGTTGCCCATAGTTAGCGCCCGCCCGCCCCCCCCTCTGTCGCTTCGCAAACGAAAAAACAAAATAAAACCAAGCAAAAGAGAAAGAGCGATATGCCATGTCCGCCTTGCGTTTGTTTTCATAACATCGAAGGCTAAGCTCAAAGAGAAAGCGAGGCCAAAAAACGATTGCGTAAACGGCGTCACAAAGCCCGCCGGTTTTGATCGACAATCGTGAGATTGACCGCCGTCGACCAGAGAATCGACGGCAGCATGCAGACGATGTGCCAGCTTGCACGGCGCTCGCGCCGCGCCGGCTGGCTCATCGAGCGCGCTCTCAGGCGCCATCCGGGCCACGCGCGGCGCCTCGCGTGCCTCGCGCCACTCGCCTCGGCTGGCAGAACAACGCCAAAGCCGCCTCGCAAACACCGCGCACAGCACCAGCATGCTGCCCACCAGGCAGCAGAGTGCTGCACCGGCGTGCAGCGGACGCTGCGGCGCTGCGGCGCCGCCTCCCTGCCCTGTCCACGGAGCAGGCGAGCGGCGGCACGGCCTTCCACCAGCTGCAGGAGGTGCGCACTTCCCGGTGGAAGCACAGGATGCTCCCTCCGCATACGCAGCTTTGCGCAGCGCAGCGTACGGGCCACGCCACGCAAAGCCGACCCTCAGTCTGCCCAAGAGGCTGTCTGCGGAAGGCCTGGCAGCGTGCACTCGCCTCCTCCGCGGCCATGCCCTCCGCCCGGGCGAGCGAGGAGCGGGGACACAACCATTTCTGGAATCGTGTGTCCCCGAAGGAAGAATTTTTTTTATTTGCTTCCTTGAGTTCGAAACAGCAACCCAAGCGCGACGTTGTCGGAGCGGAGGCCGCCGGGGTTCGCCTCTGCACCGCCGCCGCCGCCGCCGCCGCCCTCGAGAGCGTCACTCCTCACCCGACGACCGACCGTGCTTCTCTCATCGCCGCTCACCCTCGCCTGGCCGCCCTGCCGCAGGCGCATCTCAATGGTGATCGCAGACGGTCTCCTTGATTGCGATGCTCGCGGCTCCGAGGTCCATACCGCTCGCCGCGCGGACAACAAAGCTACGGCAGAGACGCCCGCCGCGGCGGCAAGTTCTCTCCGCAGCCTTCCCTCCTCCCTCTCGCGCGTGCACGCCTCGGCTCACCCGAGCGCTCGGCGAGCTTTGCACCGCGATTGGATGGTGACCTTGCGCAAGATCCCAGTCAAGTCCGAGACGTACTCCTCCAAGGCCGCCAGCCCGATCGGCGGCGCCAACAGCTTTGGGGCCCTCGCCGGCGCAGAGGCGCGCTGCCCATCCCTGCCGGAGGCGGCGCCTGCGGAGACCGCGCCCGACTCACTCGCTCGGCCGTGTCTGCCTGCTCAGGGTACGCCGCTCTCGCCCCAGAGGCGGGCCAGGAAGCCCTCGCTCGACTCGTATCACTGCGTCCCCGGCCGCCTCCTCCAGCCCCACCTGCTCAGCATCTTCATCGCCTTCCTCGCGGTCGTCGGCATGGGCGGCGGCGGCGCAGCCGCGCTCGTCACGCGGATCGCTTTGGCAACTCCTATCGTCGGAGCGTTCCCATCGCAGCCGGTTCCTCCTCAATCCCCGCCCCGCGCTCCTCCCAAACCGTCCGATCCGCCGTCGCCGCCATCGTCGCCGCCGTCGCCGCCGTCCGACCCCCTCACTTGCTACGGTGTGGCGAGTTCGCGGACGCGGCTTGTGCTCTGCACGCCCAACATCAACAACCGCTTCCCCTACTCCGGGCGGACGGTGAAGTGGTTTCCCTCGATGGAGGCATGCACTGCTTCGTGCGAGTGGTATGTGCCTACCGCCCCCGGCGAAGCGAAGATCGGCTGCCTCACGCCAGGGTGCGTGAGGGCAACCTCTGACCCGGCGGAGGGCGGGCGAGACGAAGGCTTGAGCTGCGACCAGCTCTACTTCGTGTCTGAGACGCACGGCCGCGTGACAGCGTGCAAGGAGGACGTCAGGGACTTCTCTAACCCATCGACGCGGCAGTGCGGGGGGACCTTTGTTGCCGAGACGGATCCCAGCGTCACGGACGCCCGGTGCATGGAGGCAACGGGTGAAAAGTGTCACTTCGACGAGACGGTGGGGGAGAGCACGATTGTTGGCGAACGCACTTCTTACTACGAGCTGAACACGACCGGTTGCGCTCCCCCTCCCCTCCTCCCCTCGCCCCCCCCATCGCCATCCCCCCCCAAACACACACCCCGCCTCACACACACACACACACACACACACACACACACACCACCACCCCCACCCCCACCCCTGCAGGTGTTGTCGAGCGCGGGTTCGCCACCTGGAACCAGTGCTGCAGGGGAGGCCCCAAGCTCTCGTGCGAACCGCCATCTGCGCCCCCCTCACCCCCGCCTCCCTGGTACCCCGGTCACACTGACCCACCCTCGCTGCCGCCCTCGCCGCCGCTTCCCCCATCACCACCTCCTCCCTCGCCGCCGCCGCCGAGCCCGCCGCCCCCCTCAAGGCCGCCGCCGAGCCCACCGCCGCCCTCTCCTCCTCCACCCTCTCCTCCACCGCCGTCGCCTCCGCCGCCGTCGCCGCCGCCGCCCTCTCCGCCTCCGCCCTCTCCGCCTCCGCCCTCCCCGCCTCCTCCCTCCCCGCCTCCTCCCAGACCACCTCCTCCCTCGCCGCCTCCTCCCTCGCCGCCG